TTGATTCTTCGGAATATTGATTTTTTTTATATCGAATATAACAACTTTTTCGATATTTTTTTATTTTTCTTTTTTTTACATTTGTATTTAAAAAAAAAAAAAAAAAAAAAAAAAAAAAACTCGATGTTCCGAATCGATTCGACTCGTCGTTATTCGATTGAAAATTAAAACAAAAAAAAAGAAAAAGAATACGCCAATTTTCTCGGGGCGCTCGATTTTGAAATGAAATTTTTTTTTTTTTTACTGCGTATGTAAAAATCATCCCCTATTTCTCTTCTGTATTTTTCACTATTTTTCTCTCGAGTGATTTCTTTTTTTCTTCTTTCTTTTTTTTCTTTAAAGAGATGAATCAAACAAAGTCACATTGAGTCGCAAAAAAAGATTTCCATAAACTTATAATTAATGAATAAACTTTCACGATATATTTCCACCATTAGAATAGAAAAAAAAACCGCGTCTCTACCTTTCTTCTTCTTTTTCCCCCTTATTTCCAGGGGTGGAGAGAAAAATAGTAATTATTCGGGTTCTTTTGTTTTTCATACGCTCGACTTCGAATATCCGAATAGAATCCAACGTAGGGAAAGGAAATGCGAAAAAAGTTTTCCATTTCGATGACTGCGTTCCTTCTTCCTTCAACAGATAATATATATATATATATATATATATATATATATATATATATATATAGATGTGTGTGTATACATAGGTATATTATATGTATAAGTATATACTAACATAAGAGAAACGATTTACCAACAACCCAACCGGACTTGAGTTGCTTGAAAACGTTGATTACCGCACCAAACAACTCTTAATAGTTTGTTCCTATAACTTCCTTCCCCCTTTACCCTTCCTTCTCCTTTTCCTCTTTATCATCATCTAGTCATCTCCGTTGTCCTTGTCATCTTCGTTGTAGTCGTAGTCGTAGTCGTGCTCGTTCGTTGATTGTCGCATTAAACTCGTTCACGAACTCGTTATCGAATATAATGTATATGTACATACATATATACATATAATAAATACATATATATATGACCGTAAGAACGTTATTTTACGAATTATAAGATTTTTACATTTATTTTCTTTTTTTATAAAGTTTTTTTTTTATTATCGGTTAGCGATAT